AAAATCCGATTTTTTCATAGAATCATATTCCAAACAGTCCTCTATCTAATACTGAAAACCGAAGCTATCTAACTCTTTTCGTTCAAGATTTATTCAAAAAACATTCACGATCATTCTCTTTTGAAATGAATAGTTTTTTTACTGCGTATCGTATCGATCCTGTCGAAATTTTGTCCTTTCTAGCTCAACATTTCACCAAAGATACTAGGCTCCAATACAATACACCCAGATGTTTTTCGATTTAGCACTCCTCTTAATCAAAAGTCTGCACGTGGCTTACACGATGAGTACCATCAAACAAAAGGTGTAGATGAAAAGCGACGTGCCCAGAAGTTATTGTTTCATCTCGAACCTTCAAATATACTCTTCTAGATGCAGTTTTAGATGCTGATCAAGAAAAACCCTTTGTGAAGCTCGAATTCCATTGGAACGGAGTTACACCATTTTTTAAAAAGGTTAGCGGATTTTCGAAAAGGGAGTCCCTCTCAGTATTTTGAATTTTTCTCGGTGATAATGCGCGCTAAAAAAACTCAAAGTAACATATTCTTAATCAGTATGAAATTCTCTATCGAATGATGCATATTTGAAGTGAAAATAAAATAGTGCTCGACATTCGAATTTGGAGCGCCTTAATAGTAATAAAATCGTTTTGAATTTTATTCACTACAACAAATGTCGCGTCCAAGATTAGTATATAATTTGTTCCTCTATGTTTGAATGAAATTATCACATTATGTATAATTGGTACATTCTGCGTACTATTATTTGTCAGAGCATCTGTACATTTGTGACAAGAGTAATATTGAATTACTACAAAAAATATTCTTGCTGAAATGTGATTAACTATAACCATAACGATACTGGGATACAACAATTTATTTTTAAGCACAAATTTTGACTATGGCATGTACTATATATGGAACAAGCGTTTCGGAAATGCATATGCGGGAGCTCTATATCATAAATGTAAAATTTTAATGTTTCGCATCTTTTTTTACAGTAACAATAAATGTTGTTCTGAGATTAAATCATCTATTTCTCTGAAAACGGTGCATGCTTTTAGGTACTGCATAACAAATGGACGGAAAATCAAAATGATCGTCATATTTGACCGTGATTTTTCATTTTTACCAGGCTACAGTAAAATTCTTTGCTTAGCCGTTTGAGTCCCAGTGATAAGTATGCTGACCACCGCTAAACTTCGACAGTTTTGGACAATCCTCAAGAACTTTTGTCATACATAATCTTAGTAATTTATTTTAGCGTCTTCTTTCCCTGACGTGAGTCTCATCAATTCGTAGGAAGTGTATATAACTATATTTTATTCACGGTCTTTGTGTAGAAATTGTTTTGTTTTACTATCAAATGCATATGCAGATAACAAAATAGAGTTTTTATAAATGCCTTCGTATATAGTTTGTACCACGTTTCATCAAATTTGATTCAGCAGAAAAATTCAGAACTTAAAGGGTTAAGATACGATTGTACAGATTTGGCCTAAGCTTTATTCTTCTAGAGTACAAACAGTATTACTATAAAATTCTACAACTCTACCGAAAAACATAAGATTAGTTTTATATAAACATAAACTCGAACACATGAACTTAGATTTGCAGAAAACTGTAAAACTAAATTCACTATTTCTAGTTTACAAAAATATTCGTGAAGATTATAAAGTTTGTTGTTCAATTCTAGTTGAAGAATTGAAAGGTAACTGGACTGAAAAGTAGTTGTTAACAATTGTTTATTTATAAAAAGCTTAACAATAAAAATAGATAATAAGATAACTTGAATACATTCAAGTATCCAAAAATTTAGCTCTCCAGTCATCTGTCACTAATTCATCATGTAATTTTCTTAAATAAACTAGAAATTTATCGATATTGATCATCTTCGTCGTTGATATAGGTAACAGTGGATGAGGTATACGTTTTCTAGTTTCTTCTAATTGTCTTTTACCATCTTCATCATCGATTTTATTAGCAATAACCGTTATGGGCTTACGTGATAATGTTTCGTTATGTTCTCGTATTTCATGACTTAACAAATCAAATTGTTCCCATGGCCTCTCAATGCTCATATCAATCACATACAATAAGCCCAAACAACGTTCAATATGACGTAAGAATTTTGTACCCAAACCCTGCTGCTGTTTACTAGCACCTTGAATAATGCCAGGAATATCAGCAACTAAATAAGACTTGAGATAAAAATTAAGTTTTAGTAACAAGATACCGTTACCTTACCATATATTTGAACAAAATCATCATAAATAACTGTGCCCACTTGCGGATAAAGTGTAGTGAATTCATAGTCACCGACGATCGGTCTTGCACGAGATATTGCACGTAATATACTACTTTTGCCAGCATTTGGGAAACCAAGCTATGATCAACAAGAAGACTAAACTTTTCACACATATCCAAATATCGTTCTCTCTCATACTTACAAGACCAAAATGTGCAATTAATTGTAGTTCAAGAATATATTTTTTCTTATCACCATTGGCACCAAGTTCATATTCGCTTGGAGCACGATTCATATTTGAAAGAAAATAAGCATTGCCTTTACCACCTTAAAAATATAATGGAATAGAATTCGTGATGGATAAAAAACATTCGTTTACCTAAGCCACCACGAGCTACAACAAACTTTTGTTCATGTCTTGATAACTCAGCAACAATATCACCATTTGCAGTCTTAACTAATGTGCCAACAGGAATCTTGAATACGTAAAACAAAATGCTATTTTGGCATGCTAAGAACCAAGTAAAAAGACTAGCTTCAGATTGCCTCTGAATCTCACTTACTTCTATAACTAGATGTTCAGCTGACCTTCCTTTCATAAATGATGACATGCCAGGCTCACCATTATCTGCAATATACATATTTTGAAGATGGTTTAATGATGTAAGTTCTTTTGTGGCTAGAAACACAAAAAAAGTAACAACGATCAATGGCAAAAAATAGAAAAATAATGAAAAATTTAACCTTGTAATATAATATGTGCACCATTTCCACCATCACCACCATTTGGACCACCGAATTCATTTTGAAAACCTCTTGAAAATGAAGACATACCATCTCCTCCTCGACCACCTTGTTAAAAAGAAACTCACAAATCCTTTTATTTTGAACAAATGTGCCACTACTTACCTATGAAACGTATTTCAATTTCATCTTGAAAGTAATTGTCCTTAATAGAAAAGAGTACCGTACACTTACAAAATATTCTTTTTTGTATCTCTTACAAAATCAGCAGCTTTATCCTTGTTTGGTGCTAATGGTTTGGGACTTATTGTATCACGTGATACAAATCGTTGTTGGTTAGGTTTAAACTGTAAATTTGAATATTTTACAGCTGCACGAACAATTTTTAATGATTTTTGGAATAACATTAATTAATAAAGTTAAAATATTTTCTTTTCAAACAAATTAGAGTAAAAAATGTGCCTTGATTGCGTTGTTCTCAATCATATACTTATGGAATAAAATTAATAATTCGCCATTATTCATCTGGAATCAAACAAAAGACGCTATTAGAGCCAACTTTTTGTTTTTTATGACTGCCAATTGTTAGTTAACATTATATCGGTCGTTGCTTTTCAGCATTTTTGGACTTTTCAATCTCGGTAAGATTGGCAAGTCAATCAATTTACTTTTGAGGCTCTTCGTAAAAATATTTTGTATTGGCTAAATTTAATAGCTGTTCTTCGTAAGTTCGTGTTTATCAAAAACAGAAATAACAAATAAAAATGAAAAAAAAATAACAACAAAAAAAACACTGTCTGTTTTTGACTTGATAAAAATTTTCACCTGTTTTTCATCGAGTAAAACAATAATAAGAGAGATTGTTCAAGAACTATCATTTGCTGCTCTTGTCTCTAATGCATACGGTATTCACTTTTAAAGTCTGTCTGATATGATTCACCTTTAAAATGAAAATCAATTTCAAAATCGAGATCACGATCATTTTTTGGATTTGGTTGTAATGCAAATGAACCATTAAGTTTTTCTCCTTTATGCATCATTATATCTTCATCAAAATAAAACAAAACTTGTTTCCAATGTGTATATGGACATTCGGGACTCGTTGAAAATCCAGTATACTTGTGACATTTACTAAATTCAACTGTAAAGTAACTGACAACAGCATGAACAAAATCATTACGTTTTGCTTCTAATTGAAATTTTGTTGCAAATGATAAATCCTTAACAGTAACCGTATTCAGGTCAAATTCTTTTAACAAACAATGTGATGTTACCACTTGTCGAGAATCAACACTATCAACTAACGGCTCTTTGATGGCTATTTTACGTATATAACTCATATCAAAACCATAAACATTATACCTAAAAGAGAGAATAAAAATCTAAATAGATATTCAGTTCATATTCATAAAAACTCTAATGACAGGAACAACTAGCCGAATTCCTAAAACTTTTAGCCAAATCAAAATACGTACCACCAGTTGATTTTTTCATCACGATAATTTTTATCTTCGATACCGCATAGATATAATGCACATTTATCAGGAAATAGAAGACCAGTTGTTTTATTTAACCATTTATCTCGAGCAAACAATATTGAATTGAGCATCGATTCATATAATAAACAATACTAAAATGTAACAATAAATCATAATAAATTATGAACAATTATGAATATTATTCAACATTTGGCGCAAAAAGCTAATAGTAGATATAATATAAATCATTTATCGTTTGTTAAAAGAAAACACTTACCCCCATCCATTCTGATACAATAATATCCACTTCTTGAATACCATCCGGTAATTCAACATCTTCAATTTTTCCACGAATTAACGTTATTTTATCGGATAATTTATTATCATCGATTATTTTTTGCGCATAGCCAACAATGCTACTCATATCTATGCCAATAACTTTACGTGCACCAGCTTTTGCAGCAAACATTGATAAAATTCCTAAATTAAATCACAGTATATTACATATATTTTATTTAAGAACAAAAAAACAATTAGAGTTAACAAACCTGTTCCACATCCCAAATCAAGAACAATTTTATCTTTAAATAAATGTTTGTTGTATATCATGGCATTTCGATACGTCAGTGTTCTGACCTCATCTTTTAACATTTCTTCATGAATACCAAAATGAGCATATGAATCAAAATAATAATCTTTACTTGTTTGATCTTCTGGAAAATCGGACGGTGTTGTTTTTAATTTTGATTCTGTACATGTTATCTTTAATTCATCACTATTTTTATTATCATTGCATACATCAGCAGTTGTTAATGAGACAGATTTCTTTTGATTTGTATTTACACTTTTTAATGTTGATGAAAATACAGGAGACGTTGTTTGCATAGATGAATCCATTATATGAATGATGATGCACACGATGTGATGCTTCTAGAATTAAAATCAACAAAAACATTTTTCATAGTCTTCGTGTTGCAAAAATAAGGATTTATAAATATTTTTTGTTGACAAGATGAACACTAACAGTATTAGTGTCTTACAAAAAAACAAAAGATATATTAGAGAAATTAACTGAAAAAAAAACGCACCTCGAACTTGAACAGAAATTTTTTTCTAATCACCACTGCCCTTCATGCGTATCAGTCATATTTACATCTCTATTCAGTATAAAAATTCCAGATTATATGTACAGTCATGAGCAGAAAGTAACGAAACTTGTCTGCGCGATATTCTTTTGTAATAGAATATAATTAGTTTCTACTAAGAAAAACTATCCCTCTAATACACCTAATTCAATAAACAGAAAATTAAATGTCGACATTTCTATATCAAACAATGATCATAAATTATCATAGAGCATACACCAACACAAACAAATAGAAATTATTCAATGATATATTTTAATTATTAAATCTTCATCTAATCCGATAAATCTAATGAATAAATCTAAATCATCTAATGCCCACTTTTTCTTTTTTTTCAACAAAGAAAAATTCTGCTTGACACTTGACTAATATTTTTCCTATAATACCTTCTGATCTTTCTTTTGCTTTTTTTTTATCATCGCGATAATAAACTGTTGAAAGTATTTGCTATTGTTCCAATGATCGAGCAATAATGTTCACATTTGTCCCATAACTTGTCGTTTTGTATCAGATACGTCTCTACCAATCGAAATGATAATAATAATCCTCTATTTAGAGTGATACTATCGAATAAAATAAATGAAGTATCAACTGTATCATTTTCTTCCATCCGTTTGTGCGAGTTGATAACCGATTCACAACTTAGTTATTCATCCGTTAATTCTTCTTTAATTCATTATTTAATTTCAACCTATCCATGTTGTCATTTGAAATGAATAAATGGCACTCTTCATAAAATGGCACACTTGCTTTGTTTCCAATTCCAAGTTATCTTCAAATAGAAATTACATCAACTTTATCACAAATTAAGATATTATGTCTATCTTCGCTTGGCAATGAAAGAAAAACACAATTGGAAATTAAACCATTTCTATCTTAGTTTGAGACGTGAAAAAAGACCGGTTTGACCTCTTTTATAGATATTTGAGCTAAAAAAAACACAATTCTTGTCTAACATAAACACTGTTGTATACAATTAGCAACAGTCAAGGAATCTTTTTGTCCTACAAACATATCAGAGTATTATCATAAAAAAGGAGAATACTTGCTACACACAACCATAAATAAAAAACAAACAAAAAAAATAAAAAAAAACAAAAAACTTAAGGAAATGAAAACAAAAAACAAATACAAAAAACGTATAGCCTACTCATGAAGAAAAGGCACATAAACACGCATACAGATATCAAAGATTTCTATCTTAGTTTGAAAAGCTGCTTAATACACAAAAAGTAGCACACAAAAAAATAAAGCTTATGAGTATTCTCAAACACCATAGAATTGCCAAATAATTGTTGCTTTCCAGAAAAAAATATACATGCGCTAAATAAAACATGTATAGTCATGTTAACGATAAAAATTTTGTTGATTCCAATGTTCACTGGGCTCATAATTATTTGAATGTCTATTATAAGGTGATTGATCTAATGGCCAATCATATTCTGGATGCGTTGATTGATGAGAAAATTGGTTTAAAAATGCTTGCACTGTTTCTGGATTAAACATGTTTGATAATAAATCAGTTTGTGATCTATTATCATGATATGAATTATTTGTTTCATACATGTTCATTTGTGGAAAAAGATGAAAATTTTGTGTTGGTGAAGCTTAAAAATAAAATAAAAATAATCTTGTAAAGAAAAATACAAAGATAAAACACAAACTTTGATGAGAACGTTTAAATTGTTTGTCATTTTGTTTCGATTTTGGTGCGGCTGGTCCAACACTTACACTACATCCATTAATAAAATGATCACCATACAATGTTGGAACAATGGATGAGTCAGTAAATGTGACAAAAGCGAAGCTACGATTAGGCTTCGGGATGTAAACATCACATACGTCACCATAATTTTGAAAATAATTATTTAAATCATCTGCACTAATTATTTCTGGTAATCGTGCAACAAATACTTTTCTAGCACATTCTGGTTCATGTGCAGGATTCTAAAATGTAACAAAACATTATTTTTGAACAATAAATCAATAAAAAATGTTAACACACTTTTGAATCGGGGATTTTCACATCACACGTTCTTCCATCAATATGATGTCGTTTATTTAACACCATCAGTTGTGAATCTAAATTTTTGAAACGAATAAAACCAAAACCACGTGATTTTCCATTACTATCACGTTTTATCTAAATAAATAATCTTGAAAAATTGTAAAACCAATCATAAAAAATTAAAATGAAACAAAACTTACCTCAGTAAATACTAATTCGCCAAATTGAGCAAAATAGTTCCTAACAGCATCTTCTGTGCTTCGATAATTAATTCCTAATACAATTAAATCGACACAACGTCCAGGTTCTACATCTAACCGATTAATATCATCCAACGTGGAATTTTGTGCATTACTAAGCATCATTTTTGTTCCGTTTTACTTCTAATTAAAAGAAGTTAAAAAATGAAATGAAAATTTCAGTTGTAATTGTAACTAACCTACAGAATGATCAACGAATAATTTTCATTCTGCATTATCTATAATTTGTACATGTTAAAAACTAAAATCTATGTTGTTGTTGTTGTTTAGAAATGAAACTTACATTTTAGGTAGACGACGATAAATAAACATGACACTGCTATGTTGCACTAATACAAGATCTGAAAAGGTTGCTAAGAGACTCTTATTTCTCTAATACAAATAGATAATAAGGGAAAAGCAGACAAGTTTTCACTCGAGGCACATGAAAGCAGTTTTCATCCCATGTACAGTAAATACAGAAAAATTGAAAAAAAAACGAATCGAAAAAAAACGAAAAATCGAGCTTTTACAACGAATTTCACTTTGCATTACAACGAAATGTCTCCGTACCTAGAAAAACAGCAAAGCTGGAAGAGTAAGGAAACGGTTCGAGGAAATAGTCCAAATCCAAATTAATTAGTCGGATTGCTTAGAAATGTTACCAATGTCTTTCAATAGCAGGATTCATCGTAAGAGAAAAATGGCAAACTTTCGTCTTATTGGTCGAAGAACAACCACTCAATAGTGATATTAGAATTGCGATTACAACCCAAAAAAAAAGGAACAGCTATTTTATTTTGGAACCAATCGAAGTAACGGAATCAAAACGTCCAGCTAAAGGTGCATTTCAGGTTGTCCCTTTTTTTACTGAGAAACTGATTTTACTGAACTTTTCTGATTGAGTGACAGAAAAATTTACGCTCTGGTGACTCAGAAACTCAGTTCAGTTCAGTTTCTCAGTAAAAAAAAGGACAACCGCATTTCATTGTTCATCAGGCAGTGTTAAAATCTCATGAAATCTGGCGGAAATTATTGTTATTCATTTTGGTGGAAATTTTTAATGAAATTAAGAAAGTAGTGGCAGATGAAAAATACATAAAAGCGAATAATGTTCGCAACAACAATCACTTATAGATAAGCAAAATGTGGCGCAATCTAAAGTTATTGATCCATTAACTCTTAGTTCTATGATAGTACCATTTATCGTATCAAGTGGAATACTAATTATCAGATTTACTCTAGCCAAAAAAATAAAGATCTATTTAGGATTATTTGTTCAAAAACTATTTTGCAAATGATTATTCTTACTTTAGAATTATGAACAAATTTAAATTTCTTATCAATTATTCAGTTATCAACTAAAATATACTCAGAAATTTTTTTGGAGTTGCCCAAAAGAAATACCTTGTCCTTCTCAAAGTTATATCGAAAACGCTTACTGGATTGATGTGTTGGAATACTTACCATCTAAATAGTCAGCATCCTGACACATACAGACTGTCTTTTTTCTGTCACAGATGTGATATTCTTATTATATGCGAAAAAATCTATAGTACAGTGTTCTATAAAAAAAATTAATCAATTGTTTGATTGTACTTTAGATGAGAATCTTCAAATATATTCTAATAGCTGCAATTGTCTATTGTACATATTTCTCCATTTATCTTCTTACTCATAGTAAACATTCTTAGCATGTCAGATGGACATCTGAATTTTTTATTAAGACATGTGTTTCATTTATGCTCAAAATATTTGTTTCAATAAAAAGGGTCTTTTTCTCACTAAAATTTCTCGAAACGACCCTTTGCTAAAATGATTTAGAGTAAATTTTCTTTTTCTCTAGAAAATTTGTTTAACAGGATTCAATGAACTAATTGTTTTGATCAAAAAAGCTTCAAGAATAAATAAAAAAAATAAATTTCATGTAAAAAACATTTGGGTTTTAGGAAACCTGTTGTAAGGTTCAGAAACAGATATGCATCAACACGATGTTTTTATAGGTTAGAAGAATGTATATGCAAAGCTTAAAATAGATTGAGCTTGGAAAAAAAAAACTTATCCCACTGAATACTTCATTTACAGTAAACTTATTGTTAAACTGATGTAAGCTATTTTTACGATTTTGCTGCATTTTATGAGTTTTAATACTTTTAAATCGTAATTAATTTATTCACGCAAATTATATTCTTCTAAACGTTTCAATGCTTTGCATCTTCATCAGTAGACAAGGTAAATTAAAAAGAATAAAGAATTTGAAAAGTTTTAAACACAAAAATAAATCATATGTAGAAAGTAAAGCATAAACTATGAGAGTTATAGTAGGGTAACTTTAGAATAAACTCATGATAAAGACGTCATTTTTTTATTACGTTTTCGCCTTTCCTAGGCCTGAGATTGTGACTATAGCTCCATCGGATATGATTGATTGTGAGAAGAGATAAGCACTGGCTGCACTAGAAAGCTTTTAAGACCGGTCGGGCCGGGCTCGGGTCTTAAGTTTTCTTTGTTGGGCCAGGCCGAGAACCTCTTTCTATGGTAGTATGACAGAAAGAGTAGTCTACTTTATTTTGCGTGTAGCCATGTCACTGAATAAACAGGTTTATCTAGTGCATACAAATGTTGAAGAAGTAAAATGCCGTTAATTGAAAAAGACAGCAAAATTTCTTTTTGAATATATTAGACACTATTCGATAGCCTGGCAGCTGGGAATCAAGAATATAACACTTTCTTCATGTAAAAAACTCGAAGAGTCTCAATAGTCGAAAAACCTTTCGACTTCGGTGAA